TAAGAGGAGCTGGGAGTACATGGATGACTGACACTTAAGGAGTTCTTGGCCTAGTAAGAGAAACATAGCAGTGGGTCTCAAACATTTCGGTCTTAGGACCCCTTTTCACTCTTAAAAATTACTGGGCACTCCGAAGAGCTTTCGTTTATGTGGGTTATAGCTAGCAATATTTACTATATTAGAAAGTAACAGAGAAAAATTTAAAACAAGAATCTGCAAACACATTCCATTAGCTGTCAGAGTGATAACCTCATAATGAGATCCCCTCTGGGAAACTCCACAGAGTGACAAAGGTAAATAACATCTTGGTTATGAACTAAGGGATACTCTGAAAGGGTCTCAGAGATACTTTCCCTACCCTTGCAAACTGGACAACACGTTTAGAATAGGTTATATAAATAAAGTGAAGTTTGATTACTTTTAACAGTGATTGATTACAGAGGTGCTGTTGAGAAGGAAGTGACTCCCACTCCCTGAAGTGGTCAGGGGCACCTTCTCACTCATTCAGCAGATTCTCACTGAAACTTACCCAGCGCTAGGTGCCTCTCAGAGGAGGTCACGTACAGACTGGGTCATGAAGGACCAGTAGGAATATGCCAAGAGAGCATTCCAGGCAGAGGAGTAATATATGTAAAGGCACCGGGGCACATTTATTTTGAAGAGATCTACAAGTTTAGGATGACAGGAATGTAGGATACAAGGGTGGAAGTCAGGGCGATGAGGCTGTGGAGACCAGAGGTCAGCTTGATTGGAGCACTCATGCTTCTCACTTCCAAGGTCTTTATTCTTTGGACAGTGTTAGGTAAAATGATAATTCCTCGTATGGGCTCCATGAACTAACAAATTCTTCCCGTGGGTACCATGAGATGGACTGTGGGGTCAGCCCTTCTTAGTATTGTGGTGTGTTTGGACATGTGATAATAGGCTTTATCGCTGCAGTGGATGATGTTTCCTGTGTAGTGAGGAGCTGGCAGGTATTGAGAACTCTGATGAAATATAATAAAGTTATGGTAATATAAAAAATGGTTGATAGGCTTCGCTCTTCCATCTTTCCATTCTGGTCTGATTACAATATTGAGTAGCCTGAGAGAGCATTTTGCTGTGTAGGCATGCTCGTTGGTGGTATGGTATTTGTAGAACTCTGGAACCTCCAGGAGTTTGGGGTTAAATTAGCTGGTATCCTCTGAGTCTAATGTTTCCACGAGTTGAGTCAGTTTAGCATAGATTAATTAGGGAGCTATTTATGGGGTTTTGCAATGCATCATGGGCCACTTTCATATTTGTTATGTTGTCTGGAAGGTGGACCCACATAAATTGGATTTAATTTCAAAACAGGAAAGATTTTAACCTTGATGTTGTCCTTAAAAACATCACTGGCTATAGTGTGAAAAGAATCTCTTATTGGATTAGGCAGTACAGACAACATTAGCATCTCTCTGAACTATAGTTGTATCCTACTAAGTATAGCCCTAACTTACATAACTAATTAGTAGTGTTCTAAAATTAAAACATCAAAGAATCACTAATTTTAGCCATTTATCTCTGTCCCAAAACAAGTTGTTTTGTTTTTTATTTTGTTTTCATAATGGATCTTGGTGATGGAAGGGTATTTACATGTCATCTTTCCTGTTTATTAGCTACCTGCATCACCGGTACAGCAGCCTCAGCTTTTGTTTCCAGCACATTGGTTTTCAACCCTAGTGGCACAATAGAATCACCTGGGGAACTTTGGAAAAAATACAGTGCCTGGGCTTTCCCCTAGGTCAGCTACAACAGAATCTCAGGCAGTGGAACCGGTTATTGATATTTTTTAAAAAAGTCTACAGGCGATTCTTAATGTGCAGCCATAATTGAAAACCACTGATTTATTAGAGTCTAGATTCTAGACTAATGTTTCTCGAACTTTAGCACGTAACAGAGGCACCTGGAGGGCTAGTTAAAACAGTTGGAGTGATTAGATTTCTGGGCCCCAACCCCAGTGTCTGATTCAGTAGGCCTGGGATGGCTCCAGAATTTTCGAACAGGTTCTCAGGTTATGCTGATGTTGCTAGTCAGGGACCACACTTTGAGAATCAGTGGTATAGAGCAGCTCTGTCCCACAGGAAAAAAAAAAAAGAAGCCATGTATATAATTTAAAATTTCCCCCCTAGCCACATTAAAAAACTAAAAAGAAACAGGTGAAACTATTTTTAATATGTATTTTAAGCCATCCTGAGTCTATACATATACATCCTGTATCCATAGAGCTGAAATAAAATTTCCTTTTATTTGCTAAAATCTATATCTCTGTACAGTTTTAGTTTTATATTATTGTACAAATATAACCTTTCACTATGACTAGTAGTTGGAGGTAGCCTTTAGCCCTGAGCCTTCCTTAGCCTAAACATCAGTAGTTGTTTATATTCTTTTATGCATTTTAAAACCACATCATTTCATCTGAACATGTCCCTTAAAATGCAGTCACCAGGATGGTACCCAGTACCCTAGGTGTGGTCTGACCTCAAAGACTAGAACAAAATCTGTCCTCGCTCCTTTCTCTGCACATGGACTACTATTACTGCAGCCCATTTTTTTTTATGTCTATATTAACAGTCGTGGCCCATACTGAATTATCAAGCCCTTAAAACCCTTACATACTACTTGTGTAATTGGTTGTTTTTGTGAACTCAAATGCAAGACCTTTCCATAGACCCCTGTAGCACGGTAGTTCTTAAGTGGGGATGATTTTGTCCCTCTGGGGAACGTTTGGCAGTGTATGGAGACATTTTTGATTGTCACCACTGGTGGGGAGGGAGGGAGGTGGTGGTAGAATCTAGTTGATAGAGGCCAAGGATGCTCCTAAACTTCTGCAGTTAACAGGACAGCCCCCACAGCACAGAATTATCCCCAGATGTCAGTAGTGTGGGGCTTGAGAAGTCCTGCTGTAGTGTAGTGGGTGAAGGGTGGACCTAGGACAGTGGGATCTCCTGGAGGTCCTTTGGGCAGTGATTGCTTTGTTCTCTCTCATCAGCGTCCAAGTGCTCTCCCTGGGCTCCCTAAGGGAATCAGGTTGGCTGTAGTGATTGTTCACATTTCCTGTGTTATTACCTTGCAACTGTCAGAAAAGGAAGTGATTTGTCTGTGTGGTTTTTTCATTTTGACTATTTTTAGTGAGCTCAGGAAAGTTTGGTAAATGTAGAAAAAGATATTAAAATAATGTGTAATTTAACATTTACTTCTAATTCTACCCAGGAGTAACTACAGCTGACATTTTGGTGCCTGGGTTTGAGTCCTGTGTCCACCGAGTCCTAGCAGTGTGCCCTTGGGTGAGCTACCCCAGGGGGAGAGTAGCAGAACCTGGCTCAGAGCTGTGAGGACTAAGCACCTGTAGTACATGTGAAGTGTTGGCAGCAGTGCCTGGCACATTGTAAGGGGTGTTTCAGTGGGGGGTCAATGTTTTTTCTTTGCATACATTTGTGTGTAGTGTGCACGAACGTGTTTGGCCTCATGCAATGTAGTTTTATGCCTACGTTTTTGGCTTATATGGAGAACATTTGCCTGTGTTACTAAAAGTACTTAGAAAGCCTGTTACTTTCTGTAGAACACCATGAATTTTGATATATTAAATGTAAAATAACTAAATACATAATTTGGGCTAAATAACACCTTTTGAGCTAGATTAAAAAAATAGACCTAAAGGTTTAAGAAAACTTTGAGAGAAAAGCTTAAATTGAGAAGGCTTTATTCATTAGCTTACCTCCCCCCCGATTGAAAAAAGACTGCCATTGTTAGATTTTAGCAAAAACTCCTCAGTCTACTAGAGAATTACTCTGTTCCAGTCCCTTCTAGAATCTTGTCTCAGACTGATGCAAAGCTGCTTGGTTTCTAGTTTATAGAATCTGTCATCTTCAAATATTTCCTCCCTTTTTGCAAAAAATAAAGTAAAAAATAGTATAAATCCTTATACATTTGAAGAGATTCCTGCCTCTCTATACTTTGTATTGAAAATTCATTTTTCTGAGTTGATAAATAAAAACAAAAAACCTCTTTCTCCTATGCATTTGTGTCTAAAGTCCTCCTGGAAGTGATAAGTTTATATTTTGGAGTTATATCATAGGTCTTCATTTGGAAGAGTAAACAGTTTGGCGTGAAACTGGGCAACTATTGGCTTCAGAATAGCTTCTTTCCTCAGTTTTAAGGACACCAGATTGTGTTTGTCTTGTTTCAGGCTCTGTGTATCTGGGCTTTGTGTGTATGATATAGTTTGGAATTTTAGAAGCCTTCGAGGGGTTTGAAAGTATTGGTAACTCTTTAAGTTTATTACCAGCATTTTAATTTTAGAAACAAAATAAAAATCATGTTTGAAGTTTTCGTTTGGCAGGAATAGTAACAGCTTGTGGCTCCCTGGGTGAGAGGTGAGGAACCCAGGAGGAGGGAAAGTGTTGCGTACCCATTGCCCAAGTACCTTTCATAGCTTTCTCCACTGTGTTCTTAGGACTCAAGCAGGGTGCTCAGTTCAGTTTGTATTGGAAGCTTGACACATTACTGTCTTTTGGGTGCTCTCTGTTAGGTGAATAACTAGTTAGCTGGGCAGCTATAGTGAAACTTGTTTCAGAAGAGAGGCAGTAGATATGATTTATCACTATGGAAGAGCATCTGGGAGTCAGAGCCCTTGAGAAGTGGCCTATAGTGTCTGGACCCTGTCTTCAGGCAGTTAGCGTATCACCAGCTTCACTTGTTGAAGCAGCTGAGACCCAGGGATGTGTAATGACTTTTCTGAGTCAGCAGCTAGTAAGTGGGGAATAGAGTCCTTGTTTGTGCCTCTTACGAAGGTCACATAGTTGGACATCTGCCCCAGTGCTCTCCCCTCAGTATTTGGGAAGAATCCCAGAATGTCAGAGTTGAGGCTTTCTCTTCTCAGTGTGGAGGATTTCCATGAATGGCTCAGCATGAAGCATCATTGTTTTAGATGAACTAAATTCATTTTTAGAAGGTTTTGACCAACATTTTTGTTTTAATAGCAATTGCCTGTTCAGAGCTCTTGGCGATCAGTTGGAGGGACACTCACGAAATCATCTCCAGCACCGACAAGAGACAGTGGACTACATGATAAAGCAGCGGGAAGATTTTGAACCCTTTGTAGAAGATGACATTCCCTTTGAGAAACATGGTAGGTTCACTGTGGGACACTGGATTCCCCAGGAGTAATCCATTGGTAACTAAATCCATAGCATCCCCCTCTCCTCCCCTACCAGGGATTTGGTTACATAAACTATGACATGTATTCAACAAATCTGCTCTGCAGTAGGCGGCATGCTAGGCAGTTGGGATTCAATAGGTTTAGATGTGTATGCCCTTAATAAAAATGACGATGTTCATTGACTTAAAAAGTTCTTCATGGCTTCTAATTCAATGGGGGCCATTGAATAAAGGAGGAAGCAGGCTATAAAATACTGTGTATAGATTGATCCTATTTTTAAGAGGTGTACACACACAGAAGCACACTAGAGAAATTCTAGAAAGATACTAACATTTTATGGTTGTTTGTTCTTGGCTCCATATATTTTTCAGAAACCACTTCCTTTAAACTTCTGTAAAGGGGAGATAATAGCACCTATTACAGGCTTTTTTGGTGAAGATTAAATTGAATTATATCATTAAAATAAGTTCTTAACTGTTAGCCATCTGGGGATGATGGATCTATGCATATTTTAAATTAACTTTTGTAGAGTTTTCTGATTTTAAATGATCATGTATTACTTTTATAATCAGAAAAAATCAAAGTCATTTTAATTTCTCACTGAAAACCCAAACACAACCTGTTTTCTTCAAGGCAAATTATTTAGTGATTTTAATTAGTTCCTTAATAGGCACAAATCTAGTAAGAAAATACAGATGAACTTTTAAACTTTAATTTGACAATTTACTGAAGATGTACTGTGCTAGGTGCTGATATATTTATGTTTTACAATAACATTTTCATCACAGAGCTCACAGTCTTATCTGTCTCTTATCAGGAAAGAGATAGTATTTCCTATGTTTTAGAGTGCTAACTCTGGGAACCATGTCAGGAAAGAACAGGGAGAGAGACTGAGAAGGGAGGTGAGTTAGGAGGTGCTCTGCACTGACCAGATGAAAGAGTGAGAGGGTCCCCACCAAGGCAGCTGCTGGGAATGATGGGGGGCTCCAGACCAAGACACAGCTGGTAGTGTAATTGACAGGATTCATTGGAGGCGGGGAGGAGGGGAGAGGGGGAGACAGAGGTGATTCTGAAGATCCGGTTTGGGGAATGGCTGGGTAGCTGTACTGTTCACAGTAGAGAGGGCTGCAGGAGGAAGTCATTTGGGAGGGGAGCTATCAGTGGTTGTCTAGCAGGTAGGCACAATTTACCAGATGGTCAGCAATTTACCCACAGTTTACCAAATTAAATGCGGGTACACGGGGCAAGTTTTATAGTTTAGCCATATAAAATGAATTGTGTCATTGATTCAATTAAAATACTTTGGGTGAAGTGAGTTTTTAGTTTGTGACTTGAAATTCCACTTTGAACATCTTGAGTGAAGGTCAGGTGGTAGATTTCGGGGTATGATGGGGCAAGGAACTTGTTTCCAGTGTGATAGGCACTTTAGATGTATAGTGGGAAAGTGTTTTCTTCAAATGTCACTGTGCATTCCTGATCACTGGTTGGTGCTTCATAAAGAATTTGTGCTTCAAAGTGAGGAGTGGCTCTGACTGCCATTGCAGAAATGGAAAGAAACCTAGAAGTCTTAACATTCTGTTTGTGTGTCAGTTGAAGACTAGGCTTATTACATCATCATTCCTATCATAGTTAGGTGCTTTTAATGTCTGTCTACCCTGTTACACTGAGATTCCTGAGGGCAGGACTGTGCCTCTTCCCTAACATGGCAGTGCCTGGCACATGGTTGGCACTCCTAAGATATTTGTTGAATGAATAAATGAATGGCTCGCTTAACTTTTCAGGACCTAGTTACCCTTGCATCTGGCTGTATCTTTTAGGATTATCCTTTCCTCTAGACTGTGGCTTTGGAGAACCAGCAACATCTTTTCTCCAGCTGAACAGATACCCAGATCAGAATCCTGAATGTTCTTAATGCTCCTCTCCCTCCCTCCTCATACCCAGTCATTCATTAAGTCTTGTCAGGTCTACCTCAGTATTTTTTCTCTCGCTGCTGCCACCTGTAAAATTGGGCCTCTGTGCTCATTAGCCTAGATTTCTTCAATACTCTTTCGACTGGTCTCATTACTACTTGACCCATTCAGTTTGTGTTTTGCAGCCAGAATAGTGACCTACATGTACATCTAATGTGTCTGCCCCTATCTACAAGCCCTTGGCTGCTCCCCATTGACCTCAGGATAAAGTCCAAACTCTTGAGTTCTTTGCAGTTTGTGGTTTTCTTATTTCTCTATCCTCACTTCCCTCCCTGCTGCTTTAGCATTCTAAGTTCCTACAATAGTGTATCATCCACAGACTCGTCTGTCCACCTCTCTCATCTCTCCCTCTGGAACTTCATTTCTCTTCTAGCTCCTACCTGTCATTTGGGGATTAGCTTAGTTGTCTATCTCGAGAAGCTTATCTAATGATACACCTCACTTCCCCCTCCCCACTACCACACTGGCTTATGCCCCCTATCTGGAGTTAGCCAAGCGGCAAGGTTTTAGGGCACAGCCTTCCTCAAGACTTCCCTCACTTCTGACACCAACTGCAAGTTTGGGGTTTCCTGAAACTGCTCTCAGGTTTAATGGTTTGCTACAAGGACTCACAGAACTCACTGAAGGCTTTATACCCACAGGTATAGTTTACATGGCAAGGTTATAGATCAAAATTAGCCAAAGGGCAGAGTGGAGAGGTTCCAAATGCGAAGCCTCTCTTGTCCTCAGGATGCATCTTCCTCCTGGCGTCTGTGTGATACAGAGTATTGTCAGCCCTGAAGCTCACCTGAACTTGGTGTCCAGTTTTTAATGGTGTTTCATTGTGTGGGCATTATTGATTGGTGCCTAGCTCCCCAGCTCTCAGTTCTAGCTGACGTCACATGGCCAAAGAGTCACCTCATTAGCTTAAACTATCAGGTGTGGCTGAGGAGCCCACCGTGAATAATAGAGACATTCCTATCACTTGGGACATTTGAAGGGTTTAGCGGTTGTCTCCCAGGAGCCAGGGACAAAGGCCAGACCTTTCTTTGGGCAAGGCCAAATTCTTTACCATACATCCCTTTTCTGTAGTGCTTATGCATCAGTAGTGCCTATTTTTTGTTTGCCCCCAATTGGTTGTAAACTTCTCAAGGGAAAACTGACAGGCTATATAATGGAATAGCGAAAAGCCAGGATCTTGGAGTTGGGCTGCTTGGGATATAATCTCAGCTCTGTGTACTGGCTCTGTGACCTTGGGCACAGTAATTAATTACTCTGAGCCTCGGTTTCCTCATCTTTAAGATGGTGTGCATGATAATATCTCTCAGGATGGTTTTGAGGATTAAAAGTGATAATCCATGAGGAGTAAAGCAGTGCTTGACACATAGGATGCATTCATTAATGCAAATTATTATAATCACTGTTACATTTCCTCTGTCTTTTATAGAGTAAGGCTTATGGGAAACATTCAGTAAGTGTCAATTGAAGGAATAAGTAAACGAATCTTCTCTTTATGAATGATTGGTGCCCTTTTGAGTAGCAGTCTGCATATTGTTGAAGCATCTAAATTCTTAGACTCTGACAATGCTAATGGAGTTTGTTAGATGAATACCCTTGTTTCTCTCTATTTGAAGCTAAAGTACTAAAGCATGTTTGCATTTGGATCTTTCCATTAAAAAGATTTCATTTTTCTCTCTCTCCTGTTTCCATGCAGTGGCCAGTTTGGCAAAGCCTGGTACATTTGCTGGCAATGATGCAATTGTAGCCTTTGCAAGAAATCATCAATTGAATGTGGTGATTCATCAACTTAATGCCCCTTTGTGGCAGGTAGGTCACCTTTTCAGGAGTTTAGCTGAAGCTTTTCTTTATAATTTAGCTTTGGGGATGTCCTAAGATGATGGGGCATGACCGGTGCTATTGAACTTTCTAGGGTAACTTGGACTGTGAGCCTAACCAAAGACTGGAAGTGTGTGGTGGCTTGGGATTACCCTGTGCCAAATTCACATGGAGTCTGGAGTATAATTCAGAAACTTAAATGCCAGAAACATTATTCAGCAGTCAGCTAATTGGGTAATTTGGGGGAAGAGAGCCTAATGTGGAAATACTGTTGATAATTCTGTAAAATATGTAACTGAGAATTTGAAGGATTAGTGCATACAAATTTAATTTCCAAGTATGCCTTTTCCCACATGTATGGTTGTGTCTTTTAGGTGGAGAGAAACAGACCGAATTTATTGTAATAACCATTGCTTAAAAAGATGTTCTAAACAACAAAATTTAATGGTCTGGGGTGTCAAGTTCCATTTATCCGGTCTGCTCAGCTGTATGTATGGTTCCAGTGGTTTTTCTACAGCAGATAATACTGTATAATAGATGTTCAGTTTGTGCTGTAGGATGGCAGAGCACATTGTTGAATCATTTAGTTTTTCCTTTCTTCCCCTGTTGTGAAGTAGCTGTCCATTCAACCTTCTTTACCTTTGGTTTCCTAGATTAATCCATCAAACCAAACCAGAGGTTGGGGGAGAGTGCATACAGGCCCTTGCTCTTCCCCCTCACATTCAGAGTGCTTCCTGTGCTTTGGAGCTCTCCTGCAGACTGGGCTTGTGATTTCTGTCAGTCCCCTCCCCCTCCATCACTCCTCCGCTTCTAACTTTTTTTTTAATTAGAAAGGTAAAACATTAAACATAGAAAAATTTGAAAATTCAGAAAAGCCAATAAAAGCAAATAAAAATCACCCAGAGTCACATTCTCCAGAGATTATTACTGTTAACATTTTAGTGTGTATCCCTGTCACTCACACATACTTGTTAGCTATGAAAATATTCATACATAACTGGAAAGACATGTATCACAATGTTTTTATGCACCCTTCAAACACATCTACACACATATAGACATATCCATATATATGTACCCACACTTATGTGTCCCTATATATTATTATAAAGGCAACTGGGACCTTTTTTCTCACTTTTTTCATAGACCACCAGTATATATTTTCCTTTGTAAGTTGTTTATTCATAACCTTTGCTCATTTAAAATAAACTTGAGTTTATAGAGAGATATTTGCATATAGCATAATTAACCCTTCTCAGGAGTGGATTCTTTTTGACAACTATAGTCATGTAACCACCACCACTATCAACATATAGAATATTTCCATTACCCCCTGAAGTTTCCTCACGCTCCTTTGCAGTCACTAGTCCCCTCCCCATCTCTCCAACCCCAGTAACCACTAATCTGATTGATCTCTTACAGTTTTACCTTTCCAGAATGTCCTCTAAATAATAGTATATAGCCCTTGTGAATGCCATAATGTCCTTTGAACAAAATTACAGCACAATAAATTAGATACTCCGTGGATTGGTGAGGGATTTTACAGGGAGGGAAACAATGTGTGTGTCCTTTGGGGCAGTGTTGTCAGATGTACTGACACCAGAGAGAGCTATCATCTTTTTAGTGAGGTGCTCTCTTTCTAAGGATGGTCTTTGAGCCAAGAATATTCTTACCTTTTTCATTGTCCCCATTTTCTGTCCTTAAATTATTACTATTCAGCAGAAGTCATCAAAATCATTGGAATGTACAGCTTAATGGCCCTGTTACTCAGGGCCAACTCAGTAACCAGAGCTCGCTTTTTCCTCCGTCGATAGCTTTATTTGTTTCTTAGTTATCTAAGTAGTTGTGGAAGATGCTTCTGCATAGTTAGAATTTTTTCAAATACATTTCTTAGCGTTCTCTTTCATGAATTGCTAAGCATTCAAAGTATATGTTTTTAAAAGAAATCTGTTTGCTCTGTAATGAAACTATCCACTGGCTCCCCCATCTCCCCCTGCCCCAATGAAGCATCTTATGAGATTTAGGAATTGCAACTTTGGTTGCTCCTGTCATGGTAAGACTTCTTGCATTGATAACAAGTAGGCTCATACAGCAGTGGAGATACTGAAACCTGCATTTTTTTCCTGGTTACGAATGGAATGCATGCTTCTGTGAGCAGTAGGCACATTTAACGTAGAAAGTGTAAGTCCTCTGTAGTCTCCCTCCTCATGAAAATTACTGTCAGCTATTTTGGTGGCTATTCTAGTTATTTTTTTCCTATTCATAATGTGTATATAGTATTATTATTTAAACATGTAAGTGCTCTAGGAAGTGTGTCATTCAGAGATTCTAATAAACTAGTTTTCTACCCTAGTACTCTCCCTGGGAGAGAAATGATGCCGTCTTTATTCTGTGTATGTCAAACCAGACCGGCTGTACTTTGAGAGCGAGATAGTTACCAGGAGAAAACTTCCATGCTTCCGACTTCTGGTCCCTTGTGCTTCCTGTTTGTTCCATGGTTTTGCTGTGCTTTTAGATCACAAATAATGTTAAAATTAATAGTAGTGTCTTAGTACCCACGACTTTCAGTAAAAATAAGAAGGAGGTGGTAAAATTTTAGAGTTTTAACAAAGAGATGATTACCAAGCTTTCTAAGCAACAGATTCAGAGTTACTCTAGAGTTTCTGTCAGGTGGAGTTTTTGGTGGGTATACCCAGGCTGGACCTTAGGGCTTCTGTATGACAAGCCTCTGGGGAGTTCATTCTTGCTGGGGTGTGATCCAGGAGTGCCAGTCACATGGGATATCTTGTGAGTAGTGCCTCCAGGGTTGTACAGTGCAGTAGTACTGCTTGGCTTTAAATAATTTTGTTTTGAAATTGATGTAAGTGGGCGATTGACTTTTTCACGTTTCTTAGAATGTGGTTGATGGAAAATGCTCATTTATTGTGAAGTAATGAAGCCTGTAGAGGCCCTTCATGCTTATGGCTTTCTTTCTAGGTCCTGGGAAGGACTCTAGCATTTTAATATTTGTAATCTTGTATTTTTCTCAAGGAGGGCCCCCAAATTGTGTGTTCCTTAAGCCCAACAAATCTGTGTCTGCTCATAGGCCTCTCCTCTCAGAAGGGGCCTGTGCACCTGGAGAGGTGCTGATGCCTGGAACTTAGCCTGTTTCACTTCACTGTGAATCTGCGCTGGCTTTTGAATATGTGTTTTCATATAGATTTATTTCCGTATAGTTCCATTCTAAGCAAGTCGAAGCTTACTTGCATGGACAGGAGAAAGATAAGTCAGAAGTTGCTCTGAACATAACCAGTCATATTCCTGATTCATTCCACATAGAGCCTGTTGACTGGGCTTCCTGGACAACCTAGGTAGCATTTCTCTCCAGGGGCTGACAGTGTCCATAGCCTCGCTGGCATCTCCCTTTGCTTCCAGATTCGAGGTACGGATAAAAGCAGCGTGCGGGAGTTACACATTGCCTATCGATACGGTGAGCACTATGACAGTGTCCGGAGGATCAATGACAACTCGGAAGCCCCCGCCCATCTCCAGACTGATGTGAGTGAGGCCTCTGTTATCTTCTGTATTCTCAGCTCTGGAGGAACCAGGTTGAGGTCTGGGTGCCTGGAGCTAAAAACCAGTGATGTTTTTGTGGAAATTTGCCTTTAAGAATCTGTGGGCTTGATTTTTTTTTTTTTACTTTTTTAGTTCAGATGAGAGTGACAGATAAAATTGCTTGTCATTATTTTGCTTTTCCTAATGATTGGTAGCTGTGATTACGTGGATAGAATTTATATAATAATTTTAAGTTACTTTTAGTTTCAAAATTAGTCCATGCTTCTGGACCTGGAGAGTATTATGCTAAGCGAAATAAGCCAGTTGGAGAAAGACAAATATCATATGATCTCACTTCTGTGTGGAATCTAATGAACAAAATAACCAACAAAATAGATCCACAGACATGGATGCATGGAACAGCATGGACAGATTTCAGAAGGGATGGGAAGCGATTAACACTGCTGTGAATATTTGTGTATAAGATTGTTTGAGTGTCTGTTGGACCATATAATAATTCTGTGTTTAACTCTTTGAGGAACTGCCACTCTGTTTTCCACAGTAGCTGTACCAGTTTACATTCCCACCAGCAATGCATTGAGATTTCCACTTTCTCCACATCTCTACCCGTACTTGTCATTTTTCTTTCTTTTTAAAATTATGGCCATCCCGCTAGGTGTGAGGTGGTACCTTATGGTTTTGATTTGCATTTCCCTAATGACTAGTGATACTGAGCATCTTTTCTTGCACTTCTTGGCCATTTGTATCTTTAGAGAAATGCCTAGTCAAGTCCTTTGCCCATGTCTTAATGGGTTATTTGTGCTTTCGTTGTTGTTGAGTTGTAAGAGTTCTTTATATATTCTGGATGTTAGATTCTTATAAAATATATGATTTGCCAGAATTCTTTTTGTTTGTAGTATTTAAAAATTTTTTTTTAGGTATAGATTATCATCTGCCAGTAGTGGTAACTTTTCTTCTTTCTTAGTGTTATATGTCTAATTTTGTTGGCCAGTTGCATTTTGACTGTTGCCTCCTAAACATTGTTAAGTAATAATGGTGGTAGGGCAAGTCCTTCTTGCTCCTTCCTTTAGCGGGAATGAAGCGGCGCTCTGTGGCTGACCCTGGTTACTCAACCACGCCCACACTATGAAACTGTTAGCCTGTTTCCAGCTCCTCACTATTAGTAGCAGTGTGATGAGCACATTTATGTAAGTCCTTTCTATACTTGACATTATTTTCTTGGATAAACTTCAAAGACTTCTGATATACATTGCCAAATTTTTAGAATATAATTTTATAATGGATTGCTTTTTATTAACACTCTGTATGGCACATTACTGGATTCCACTTACACTTTTCCATGCAGAAAGTAGAAAGGTCCTTGCCCATTTCCTGTCTCCCTGCATTAATAGCAAGCAGAAGGGGAAGGGATTGAGCACCTACAGATGGACGATTTTAGCTTTTCTGGTTTAGGCATAGGTTGCATGGATACTAGGTGAACTGCTCTTTATGGTTTTAAAGTTTGTATTGACAGATTCACTTGAGTATGGTGGCATACATGTGAGGTTAGATGAATCATGTCACTTGTGACTATCCAGCTAGGACAGGGACTTCAGCACATCAGAGCTCGTTGATGACATAGGACCTAGGGAACCAAGTGAGAGGTGAATGCATGCTTCAAGACAAGCTGTTGTGCCGCAGAGCTTGTCAGGTGCTAGTGTAGAGAATTGCCTCTGTTAGGCTCACACCTCTGGAAATCAGCTGAGACAGATGTGTGCTGTCTGGCTTGGCTGCCATGGCCAAAATGAAGGTATCTGGAGACCATGGGAGCGCTAATGCCGTTCTTACCGAACACTTCATCCCATACCTTGGGCTGTTCTGTTTAGTACTCCAGTTGTGGATTGGAATATCAGTACCTGGATGAAATTTAGCCCAGTCATAGCTCTTAAGGTTGTTTCTGGAATCTTATCCCTATATGTTTGAATGTTTTTGAGATTAGAGCGTCTTCCCACGTTGAAGATTCTGAACATAGTTTGCAAGTGTTCTTTGATGATTACTCTGAATATTCCCTTTAGTTTCAGATGCTTCATCAAGATGAATCAAATAAGAGAGAGAAGATCAAGACAAAGGGAGTTGATTTTGAAGACGACCTGCAAGATGAGGTGGAAGATGCTGTCCAGAAAGTGTGCAATGCGACTGGCTGTTCAGTTAGTATCTCCACCTCACAGTAGCCTGGTTCATAAACAAGCGTTGCTGTGCCTAGTTCCCCTGCTAGTTTTGTAGCACACTCTAGCATGCCAGCACCTGATGGGCCATACAGGCCCATGATACTTGTAGTTTGACGAGGTTGTGTGACATGACTTAATGAGAGCTGTTCACTCATTTCTCTCTCGTTTGCTAGACTTTACCCAATACTGCTCAAAATCCTAAGGAAGTATGTGGATTTATTTTTTTCTGATTAGTGTTTGTACAAGTAAGAGCATTTTATAAAGGGAATTCATTTATATGAAGTGGTTATTCACATGACCAGCCTTATTGAAAGTTGACATTTTCTAAATGTAAATGGTCTTGAAACCTTGTCTCAGTTCTCATTATTACATCATTTTTGTTTATCAGATTGTCAAAGTAGAGAGAGGCAGAAAAGTATTCCCAGAGTCTTGAAGTGTTTCTTTGTTTCTTGGATAGGATTTTAATTTGATAGTCCAGAACCTGGAAGCTGAAAATTATAATATTGAATCTGCAGTAATTGCCATGCTTCAGATGAACCAGGGGAAAAGAAATAGTAAGTCCACGATTGATATTTATAAGCTCTCAAAATGATCGTATTGGTGAATTTTTATTGTATTGGTGATTTTCCAAATATTGATATTTAATGAAGTCACAGGTAGTAATTATAACGTCCATTCGTTCAACAATTGTTTATTAAGCACTTTCTGTGCAGGCTGTTTTTACTAGGTTCTAGTCCTGCATCAGGGAGAGTGTAGTCTGGGGTGGGGATGGAGATCAGGTGGTAGAGACTGATAAGTAAACCGACACAGTAATACGTAATGGAGTTGCAGGTACAAGGTGCCAGGGGAATGTGTGAAAAGGCCACCAAGCCCAGTTTTGGAGGGATGGAGAGTATCAGGGAAGACTATATCCTTTCAGAAATAAAATTCCTTCATAAAATTCAAATGATAACAAAAATTGAATGGAGGAAAAAAAATACCTTATTTTTCTGATGGAAATATTTAGATTACTAGCATCTGTCAACTGGTGGTAATTCAGAATTACTTTTACTTGAACTGAGTTTAATTTTGTAACACAGAGGAAGGAAAAAAGATGTGATGTCTTAACTGTTTTCTCAAGTCATTTATTTAAAATTATTTCAATATTTATTGCCAGATATTATATGCCAGATACTGTTTCTGGCATTATAGTTTCCTATGTGGTGGGATGTTTTATTTCCACTTTATATATTTGCTGTACCTCCTTAGAAAGCAATGACTAACTTGGTTTCTGCAACTTTAAGACAGCACTGCCCATATCTGTGCTGTCTAGTATGTTGTGGGCCTGACACGTAGCTAAGGGAGCCTAAGGAGCTAAATTTTAAACTTTGTTTAACTTTAACTTAAATAGTCACATGTAGCTAGTGGCTCCTGTACTGTATAGCACAGCTTTAGAGCCTGTTTCTTTTCTGGTTTTTGGCTGCAAGTGAAAGATTTCCCCCTCAATACTTGATTAAAAAGTGGTTTGTCTAATGAAACCAAACACTCTGCTGGTGGAAAGCTGATGACAAGGCTGGTCAGCAGGTTACTGTTAAGTCTGTCTTCCAAATTTTACCAGTATTTTTCCCCGTGTTTTCCCTACTGTGTTGACTTGATGTTAGGAAACGCTCTCCAAATGACAGTAAATTAGGGACCCAGGTAATTTTAGAGTCATTTAACAAGAGTCGAATTGTGTAACTCTCTTAGGTTCTCAGTTTTAATAAAATATCTTTCTTTGGAAGATGCAGAGGAAAACCTCGAGTCCAGGGGCCAAGTGCTGAAGCAAAGTGGTCCTTTATGGGAGGAGGGTGGCAGTGGCTCCCGAATCTTTGGAAATCAGGGCTTAAGTGAAGGCAGGACTGAAAACACTAAGGTGCAGGCCAGCCCTGGTGAAGAAAACAAGGCAAATAAGAACCAGCTCCCCAAGGTATGGAAGGTGGGCTGCAAGGGCAGACGAAGGGGTGGGGGCTGTAACTCGGTGGCAGTGGTTGGAGTTGGAAGGAGCTCATTTTATTTTATTTTATTTTATTAATTAATTTTTTAAAGTATGTCTTTATTGATTTCAGAGAGAGGAAGGAAGAGGGGGAGAGAGAGAAACATCAATGATGAGAGAGTCATTGATCGGCTGCCTCCTGCAAGCCCCTTACTGGGGATCAAGCCCTGAACAGGGCATGTGTCCTGACTAGGAATCGAACCTCCATCTCCTGGATCATAGGTTGATGCCCCACCGCTGAGCCACGCCAGCTGGGCTTGGATCTCGTTTTAATGTGTAATTTTCTTTTAACTTATAAAGTAGTTATTGTAGAATATATAGGGTATATATAAAGGTATAGCAGGAAGCAGAATGAAGGCCTCACTGTCCTGTTTGGCATATACAGTGGTGATTGGAAGGAAGTACACACTGAAATGGTACTCTGTGTGTACGTACACCCTCCTTTTCCACCTAACATGACTGTGTGTATGGCTGCTTTCCACGGGAACTCACGTTATCAAATCCCATTTTTTATAAATACCATCATCTGCATAATTTATTTGTAGACATCTGTATTTTGCATTATTTTCTTGGCTAGAGTCCTGGAAGAGGACTTGACAGGTTAAAGGGCATGGATATTTGAAATTTTTTAAGGCTTTTTGGTAAACTGTCAAGTGCTTCCCAGAAAGGTTGTACATCTCCCTCACCACCCCCTAGGCCCACAGGTAATATATGAAACCATTTTAAAGACTTACACCAAGAAGTTCTGAGCTCAAAATGCAACATGAGATAAAAAGCCACAGGCAGAGGCAAAAGTGCACTAAGCTTCTGCAGAGTTTGTTAGGGTTACCTGGGCCTTAAACTCTGCAGAGAAAGGTGTCCTGTGGCCCATTGAGGGTTATTATCTCTTGTTGGACTAGGGTTCACATTTTTTTAGGTCATTTTGAAGTGGTTTATGAGGAGAATGGAACTGATTTTGTTTGCTAGCTCAGCAAGGGGATATAAATTTAAATGGAAATTTGAGCAGTAATGGAAACTGAATCATGTTTGGCTGGTAGGGGGGTTTTCTGTGTTCCGTTCTTGTTGGGAGGCGGCCTGTGCTCTTTGCCTCTGTCTGCCCGCACCTCCTTCCGCAGTGGCCCCGAGTCAGCGAGCTGGCCGCTCCCCCAGCAGTCCTCTCTTTCAGGTCACCAACAAGCAGCGGAGGGAGCAGCAGCGCCTGGAGAAGAAGAAGCGGCAGGAGGAGAGGCACCGGCTAAAAGCCCTGGAGAGCAGGAGCAGCCACCGGGACAGCAACAGAGGCGACGCGGAGGCCGGCGAGCAGGTCACCTTGGTGAAGACCTTTGCTGCTCTCAACATCTGACTCGCCTGCTGGGTTGTGAGAAGCGAGTGGAGAGGGGCGGGCTGTGCACCACGTGTCTCTGTGAGGCGGTCCCCAGAACAGCCCTCAGAACCCCAGGAGCTCACACTCTGAGTTAGAGCCCTTCAAGCAGCCTCTTTTTTGTTCAAAGTTTTGTTAGTGACGTGTCTTATTTTCTGAAAGTTCAGTGAAGCCATTCATGTTCTGTGATTAAAAGGGTGAGATTTAGGGTGAGTGGTACATCAGGAAAAACCTTTCAGGTGTGGTTTGATTTGTTCTGGAAATCAGTTCAGTGACCCTGGGATCTTTCCTTGACCTTGGGGGTGAGGTTTGTTGTATTTGTTCATGAACTAGTTTAGATTAATTGTTAGACACTCAGAATGAGAAGTTTCATTTGTTTCTCTCTCACTTTCAAGCAGATATATTAATATACAGGCTAGTTCGTAAATGATCTCCAACTCAGGAACATGTTTAATTTTCTTTCTAATCAGAAAATACTTCAGGAAGTGTGCTCCCAAAGTGACTTGATGTGGGGGTGTGGCCTGCAGTCGGGGTGGGAAGTGAACTACACTTCTCTCCTTCCTGATTCTGACGTCATTTCTGATGGGATGCAGGAGCTGTTAGTTCGTTTATCCTCAAGCCATATGATGCATGCGCCTGACTGTTAATTAGGCCTGGGCTTTGCTGCAGAATTGATGCTGTTGAGTTTTTGGCACTTGTCTTTTGACGATGGGAAGATGGCCTGTCACTGCTTATGATATGGTTCTGGGATTCTGACAGTATGGCAAGTCATAAAGGGAGAAATTGAGGAATTCCTGAGTGTTTGCCTGGGAAGAGTCTAAAGAGTTTTTGATTTTGTCTGGAGAATGGAAGATCTAAGGTTTTTCATCTTCACGTTGTAAGTCACTGTTTTCTTCCTTACTTTTCTAGACTTAGATGCCTTCAGAGAAATAAAAGGTAACTTGGCCTGTTGCTAAATTTTCTTAGTATTGTGAAAACGAAATCCCACAAAATGCTGCATTTATTTCTCTTTATTTGAATCCCGCTTGGGATTCTGATGTTGGAAACTCTCCAGTGCCCACCACCACAGACTGTCAGGGATGTGCTGGACCAACAGGGCAGAGAGTGCACTTTGGCTGAGGACTCTGGACGACTCTGCGGTTCTGAGATGGACAGATTTGAGCGGTGGAGTTAGTAGGTGTGAGCTTTAAAACTGTGTGTTGGAAATGGCCTGTCTTGGATGGTCTTTGCCTTTGGGGACCTTAATATGTAGACAAGTAAGATATGCTAAATCAAAAGGTAAATTGTTACTCTCCCCCCTCAGATTTCTACGTTCTGAGGTGAGGGAAACTATAAAAAAGCGTTGACCTGTGTAGACATATAACTGTCTGGGCTGGCCCTGGATTCATCGAATTGTCTGTCAGTGAGTGATTTGCTTTCTTTGGTTTAATGATGTGTTTTAATTTTTTGCTTTTTTTCCTTTGGTGACTTTCTGTGGGTGGAGCATCATTCGTCTCTAGGAATTGCTCCCAGGACATTCTGGTTTGGGTGTCTTCCTGGTACAACACATTGTACTATTTAGCAGTCTGAGAAGCTGCACAGCTGGTTTCCCTTGCACTTTGCAGAGTCCTGAGTGAGAGGCACCAGAGCTCAGTCTAGACGAGTGGAGGGTCCCCATGGCCTGTCTCCATGGGGGTGAGGTCTGGGCGGAGTCCTAACCAACTCCAGTTGAGCTTTCCTGAATGTGCTTTTCTGAATGTGTCTTGTTTGTTTTGTACTATGAGCGTGCAGGAGACCAGATCTCTCAGAAGGATCAAGGTTGTGTGCCAGAAATTCAGCAGATTTAGGAGTCGGAAATAGCGTAGGGGAGACCCCTTGTCTGGAGTGGTAGAATTGCGTTATCTACTTGGTTAGTGAAGGTAGCCTTGGGCCCTACTGGGTTTTAGAAGTTTTAGAAGCTGCTAAAAAGTTAAAGAATATTGGGCATATTTATTTATCAATTACCTAATTCTGATAATAGGTTTCAGCATTTTTGGGGGTAAAATAACAATGGTTTTAAAAACTAATCAAATGGCTTTAGTAATTTCCTTTTATTACTGTTTCATAGTTTTCCAGTTATAATTGGTCTGTGTTTAGTTTGTTAATTATTAGGAAAGGGGTATATGTATCCAGCTTGAATGATATCTTCTAGCTAAGAGTTTGGGTTTAGACCTCACTGCTTCAGTCTCGCCAAGTATGAGGTGGACGGAATCCATGTACTTAGTTGCCTTCATAGTCACTTGGAAATTACTTTATTGGCAGCCAAACGGAGGCTGTGTTCAGTCCTGAATGGCTATTGTCAGTAATTGGTACCTAGTACAGTTACTCATGTGCACTCTGTATTAGGAAGTGACTTTTTTTACCTGTGTCACATCTTGGCTGTTAGAGAGTTATGTTACACATGGGATTGTCTCAGTGGCTTTTAGTGAGGCCTGGAAAAAGGGATGGGGCAGTGAACCATAGCTGCTTACTAGTCTTATAAACTGTATATAAAGGTTTTATGAATTAAAAAAAAAAGATTTTTTAAAGGTCGAAATAAGGAATAAAATTGTAGTGGCAACAGCCTTGTCCCAGAGAGGTAGATGCATTAAAACCACATAGAGCCACAACTTCTCAGTAGCATAGTTGCCACCAGGAGATGCTAGAGAGACGTGTATATATTTAATTTTCAGTATTTGAACATTGCTTTTAGTTGGCTGAGAAATTATGGCAGAAAAAGACTCTCAAACGTTAGTTGAGGTTGTCTGTAGTTTCTTTTATAAGCTCTGGACACTCTTCCAAACCCGTGTTGAATCCGAGGGCTTGTGAAGCAGGCTCTCCCGGGGGGGCAGTAGGTGCTGGGCTTCTAGGGAGCCTTTGCTGGGTAATTTAAGCTGCCCTGCTGTCCTGGGGAGCTCCTACAATGTGAAATGTCACGGTGCGGGGTGGGAGGGTGTGGCGGGGAGGGGAGAGCTGCTCACCTATTGTGTAGGTAGATAGCAGATGGACTTTGGCATTGAACTGTACTCCTAGTGAGTCCCTGTCATCAATGTGCAGTTTCTCTCATTCTGAGAACCTCTAGCCTCTGCCTGGGTTTTACTGGGTTAACAGAGGATGCAGTCAGTTTACCTCTGAAATGTCCAGCTGGAATATTCAGTCGTTAAAGGAAACTTGGATTCCCAGTCAGAGCTAAGCCACCCTGACCAGAAGGATCTTCCTGGGCGCTGAGAACGGAGCCCCGTGGTTTCAGTGGCACGGCTGCGGCCCTCTGGCTCCTGTTCTGGGCAGATGCGTAGCTCTGCACCTTTGTACCTCAAGGCTCTATAGAGACCGTTACACTCGGAGTCCGGAGCCCTTTCCTGTCTCTCTATTCTCATGATCCACGGTTCATCAGCTCAGCTCCCAGAGCAGGCGTGGGCACTCTGGGCCTTCTGGCCATTGTTCTGACGTGATTCAATCATGGCAGTTTTACAAGGCATGTGTTTCGACTCTAAAGCAAATCGTGTTTTTCCACTGATGTTGAATTAGAGATCTACACGTCATGTTTAATTGTAGCAGATCTCCTGCCTTCTCATATTAGAGGGGAGATGGATAATTGATTTGAAGTGGAGACAGTGAGCACCAGTCACAACGTGCTTACGCAGCATGGGGCCCAAAGGTGCACCACGGCCTGGCCCCAGGAGAGAGCTGGGTCCATGGGCTGCCTGACCCTGCTCCATCCCAAGGTACATTCCCTGGAAACACCTCAGGCTCTTAACCATTTCCTCTAAGGGGTTTCTAGAATCTCTATCCTTGCAAAGTCCTTGAGAAGAGCGTATTTCTATAAAAGCAGAACTGCGTGGTGACTTGATTTTAAGAGGCATCCCCAGGATGCAGAACTTGTTTGCTCACTGTGCTGGTGATCATGGAAGGTGACGATCAATGGGCAAAACCTCGGTGGTCTGCCCTGATCCTTTGCATGTCACCATCCAGCAGGCTGCTGTTGCCAGCTGTCCATGGCAGCCTGCAGTCCAATCCCTGGCGGGTCCCTGGACCAACACTTGAGGAATGATGGTGTGGGGCGCCTCTCATCTTCCCCTCTCCTTGTTCATGTTCCCGGTGGGAGGGGCCCTCGCCTCCCCAGCTACCATTCCAGCATCTTGCACCAGCATTGAGCTCAGCAAGAAGGATAGAGCCAGGACTCAGCCTCCCTGTCCCTGTGGCTGATGCGGACGTGTGGTGGGCGTCAGTCCCCTTCGGAAGGAGGCGTGTGTGTCTGTGGAGAACACAGCTCTCCATGGGCTTGGGAACCTTCTCTTTTTTCTAATTGCACTACACTTGTTCTAGCTTCAGTCTGGAGATAAATGTAAGACCTCCGTGGGGTCATGATCCATAGCCGTAGCAAGCCTCGCCTTACCTATGGAGCGCGACGGGAGAGGTGTGACCGCTGTCCGATGTCCACAGTCCATTTCCTCTAGGTTGTTTCTTTCCACACGTGTTAGTCCCAGCCCTTTCATTTTTTATTTACCAAAGTACTGTACTTGGCTATTTGCAGTGTTTTCAAAACCAAATGTTTCTTTTTTTGTTTTTAATCTTCAATACTTGGTGCAATAGAAGCTGCAAAGATGTGCCACTTTATCTATGAAAAATTTATTGTATACCAATAAATTCTAGTTTAAAGACAAAGTTGCAAGTTGTTTCTGTCTCTCTGACCACTGTTTGAGGGCATGAGTCTGAGAGTATCCCACAAAGTGTCCTTTTAGAGACCTTTGTGTGGAAGGTGTGTTCCGGTGCATAGGCGCTGGGACCTCACTGAGTTGGAGCTTTACCGCAGGCGAATGCACACCCACGGAGCCGCCCTAGGACTGGACACCAAGGTTTCTGCTTCATACCTAAGAGCCTCTCTGATGACTTGGAGACTGAGATATGAGCAGCTGTCTGTGGCCGCCACCTGGGGGTTTCTCCAGAGCTCTGAGGGTTGGGTTGACCCCATTCTAGGAGAAAGCCAGGCACACAGCAGTGACTCACCTAGAAGGGATCCTCAGCCCTGGCCGGTTTGGCTCAGTGGTTAGCGTGTCGGCCCTGGGACTGAAGGGTCCTGGGTTCGATTCCAGCCAAGGCCATGTGCCTCGGTTGCAGGCTCGATCCCTGGCCCCAGCCAGCGTGCGTGTGGGAGGCAACCAATCGATGTGTCTCTCTCACATTGATGTTTTTCTCTCTCCTCTCTCTCTGTGAAAATCAATGGGAAAAAGTATTACCAGGTGAGGATTTAAAACAAAAAAAGAGATCCTCAGAAGGGGAAGAGGGAGGGCCAGCCACAGAAAACCAGAGGGAGGGGAATCCCTCAACGTGTTCAGTAGGGGCCCAGCGCGCACCAGGGCTGCGGTGAACCTGAGGTCAAGATCGATTTCTCCAGGCCTCACCTTGGCTTTGCCACGCGGGACTTCCACTCTTGTTCTGATGGTACTCAGCACGTAGTCTCCCACTGGGCTCTGGGATGCTTGGGTGACAAGTACAGAGGAGTTTCTTCCTCAGTCCCTGTCCTCGTGTGACTTTCACCTCACCCCATGATCGAGAGACCTGGATGCACGAAGACTATCTGGTCCCAGAGCCCATGAGGCCCAGGCTCTGGACCCTGTAAACCCAAGAGATTCTGTCCGAAAGATCCCGCCTAAGACGACTTCTGTGGCCTCCTTAATTCTCTCTTCAGGATTCAGCTGGGCCCAGGGGCACAGGCTGGGTGACGCAGGAGGGGCCCCACACCTGGGTCTAGGTGACTGTGAGGTTGTCTGAGGGTGGGTGGCTAAGGACAGAGGGGTGTTCTCAGGCCGGGTTGGGAATAATTTGAGAACAAGGTTTATTAGATTTTCTTCGAGGCCCTAGCATTGCAGACTCTGGGTGAGTGACAGAAGCCAAAGGTTGAAATGCCGTAAGGGGGGATGCCTCTTGGTAACTGCTCGTGGTTGCCCAGGAGAAGCCAGGCTGGGAGTCCACGTGTAGAGCTACCCGTTCACCAGGCGCACCATGGAGCCCTTCCCCAGGCGCACATTGATGGTGATGAGAGACGTTCACCATCATAAATGCTCTGCTCCAGTGTGGCTTTGGCTAGACTGCTGGACAAGGGCGCTCTTGGGCCATGGTGATCCTGAGACTTAGAACTTACTTGGTTATAAAGGGTCAAGATTTAGAGCTCTTGTGGTTGTAAAGGACCACGGTCCTGCCGCTTCACCCATCCTGGCCTGGCAGGAGGAGATGCTTTCCATCTTGGAGAAACTCGTCTGGACCTCCCTGTGGGAGAGGGACTTGGGTATCTCAAGAGTCTCAGCTTTTATTCAGACACCCAGACACCCAAGAATCCATCCACGTTTACTGAACCCGTGCTGTGCGTGGGTCCTTAGTTCTGGTCATTGAGTCAGAGATGGATCCAGAGTGGAAGTGGGGAGAACACAAGCTGTTGAAGAAGGTGCTGATGGGAGGGCAGTGAGGTCAGAAGGGAGCTCCAGAAAGGCTCAGTGGAGGAAGTGACATTGGGTCTTTCCTTCCTCCCTCCCTCCTTTCCTTCCTTTCAATGAATTAAAAAAAAATACTCAGAGTAGTGCCTGGCAAATGCCAAATGCTTAATAGATGTTGGCTAATATTGTTGACATTCATTCATTCATTCATAGACCACGAATGCTTCTGTGCTAGGCACTATTTTCTGTACTTTCACACATGCTAACTTATTTAAGCCTTGCCATAACCTGCCAGAGAAATGTCCTTGTTCTGTTCTGCAAGTGCAGGGGCTGAGGCTACGTTCATGTCAGCGCTTTTTAGATTTCAGTGTGTATACCAGTCACCCAGGGGTCTTGTTAATCTATAGATTCTGACTCAGCGGGTCTGGGGTCAGGTCTGCGATTCTGCTGCTGCTGCTGTCACTGTCATGGCCACACTGAGCAGCTGGGCTTGAGAGCAGATGCACTGCTGCTAAGTGGTAGAGCAGAGGTCTGTCCCTGGGCCCTCTGACCTCAAGTTCAGGGTTCTCTTTCATTGTTTAAGTCCTTCCCACAAGTCTGCTGCAGGAAATCAAGTGTGTGTACCCCCCCCCCCACACACACACACATGGAATTTACACAGACTCACTGATTCATTCACCAAACATTTATTGATCCCTGGGAAAGCAAAGGATACGACCTGGTCTGTGGCCAGGTCACAACAGGTGTCCTGGGGTCTTGTTCTCAAGTTCCATTTTCACTTTGTCAGGTGGTTACACAGCTGCTAGACCACCAGGTCTTCGTCCCATTGACGACTTAAATCCATCCTGCCTCCTCTCCCAGGCAGATCCTTCTTCCCGAGTTTCTCATTTATGCAGCAGCGCCATCACTCTAAGATGGTTGTAAAACCTTACTTGGTTATGTTTTAGAGTATTTCTTATTGCAAATGCGAGGGGACTGATTTCACTAGCCCAGAAGCACACTTTGCCCCCACGCCCATGAAAGGCAATCCAGGTTCAAAGCCATCCAGGTTTCCCCCGGGAACCTGAATAAAATGGCCACCAGAGGGCGCCTCAGGACCACTTTTCCGACAAACGGCGGCTCCTAGTTTTGCTTTAAGACCTGACCATGCTGGCTGTTCTTGAGTGAGCAAAGCTTGCACGCCTGCCTCCCTCCTTTTGCTATGCTAGCGCAGAACTTCTTCACCTTCTAACGTTTGTGATGACCGTCCCTCTGGTTTCTCCACTTTATTGCGTGTCCACTGTGAGCTTTGCTCTGGGCAATGCCTTTTCGCAGCCTCGATCTCACTGAACAGGCTCACTGCAATCCTGGGAGGTTTTATCAGCATGTTATGGACGGTGGAGCTCTTATGTCTGTATCTAGGAGTAGATCTGCCACAGCACACCGCTGGCGGCGCTCCCGTGATGCATTAACTTCATGATGCCAGGCTCAGCCCCGCGATGTTAAAATCTTTTCGACTCCCCTCCCTCCATCAGGAGCTCTCCTGTCTGTCCAAGATGATAGCCTGAGGGCCACAGTGTCAGTGGCTGATACTCATATAGAACTGAAGGGGTGCTGGCCTGGGAGTGAGGACCCCTCAGCTAGAACTTCCCCTCTCCCGCCTTGGATGCCTGTCTGTCATAAAAGGAATTTGGATGATTCCAGAGCTTCTCTTTACTCTCGGCCCATCTGTTGATGGGAGGGATTTAAGCCTAAGGACATAGTGGGGACAATATTTTTAGGCTGGTATTTTTCATGCTTCTCACATCCTGTCACATGGCCACCCATGTCAAATTCATTCTAGCTGTTTCCCGATGCTTAGCTCATTGCCCCCACATGGGAGGCACTCAACATGTGAGCATGGAACTGTAGGTTGGTCAAACCCTACAGTGATAGAGTATGAGAATCAGAGAATATTAGAATCATAGGAAACATTATTCACTTGTTCAGAAGGAGGAGTTGAGATTTCAGGAGTGGGTTACAGTCTTCCAGGTGCTGAAGGGGTATGTAGCCTGGGAGGCCAGCGATGATCCAGGCCACAGTCAGCATTCTCAGGGAGGGGTGGGTTTGCAGGAAAGGAATGTTCCAGAAGGAAGGTCTTTGGTGCCAATGTTCCCCAGGCCTGGGGCTACAGCAGCCAGAGGTGGGGGCCTCAGAAGGCTGCAGGGAGGGGCTGGTCGCAGCTTTAGCAGGGCGGAGTGGGGCCTCTGCACAGCTTATTGGGGTAGTGGGCGTATTTGCGGTCATAGGTGTCCAGGTTTTGACGAAAGCAGAGTGCAGCCGTCTTGTCACACTCGCAGGTCTGTCGCTGGCAGGCAGTTCTGCCCCCTGATGGGACAAGGCGAGTCAGAGACCAGAGGCTGCAGCCTCCTGAGCTCACTCACAAGGGGCTGCTCCATTCTCACCCCATTGTCATGGATGTGTCAGGGATGGGTGAGAAACAGGGCAGGACAGCTGGGGCCAGGATGCTGGCAGGCTGCAGGCTTGTCCCTCCTCCCCCAGCCCTCTCCTCTGCTCCTTAGCTCCTCTCCCCCACCTGGGGGGGGCG